CAGACAGGTTTGGCCTTCCAACTCATCCCTAGGGAAGTACTTTGTCTTTATTTTTTTTAACTAAGATAAAAATCATATCTTTTTTTACTTTATATTTTCATGTTTATTTCTTTTTGAGAGAGAGAGAGAAACAGAGTGTGAGTGGGCAAGGGGGAGAGAGAAAGAGGGAGACACAGAATCCGAAGCAGGCCTCAGGCTCGGAGCTGTCAGCACAGAGCCCGACGTGGGGCTTCAGCTCACGAACCCTGAGATCATGACCTGAGCCGAAGTCAGACTCTTAACTGACTGAGCCACCCCCCAAAATCACATTAAAGTGTAAGATCCACTGTTTCTCCGTGTATTCAGTGTTGTGTGACCATCCCCACCACCATCTGTTACAGAACATTCCGTCACCCTGAAAGAAACAGTCCATTAGCAGCCGCTCCCCTTGCCCCCTTCCCCACTAACTTACTTTCCGTCTCTATGGATTTACCCACTGTAGGCGTGTTACATAAATGGAGGTATATAAGATGTGGCCTTTGTGTCTGGTTTTCTTTCACTTGCCCTAATGTTTTTAAGATTCACCCACACTGTAGTGTAGACCCATACTTCGAATCCTTTCACGGTGGAATAACACCCGCTGTGTGCCCCAACTTCTCTTTACCCAACTCATCAGTTAGCAGACACCTGGCTTGTTTCTACCTCTTGGCTGTTGTGAACAGTGCTGTGTGAACATAGGTGCACAACATTTCCTGTGGACATATGTTTCCAATTTTTTTAAATGTTTATTTATTTTTGAGAGAGAGTGTGCACTTGCGAGGCAGGGAAGCAGAGAGAGAGAGGGAGAGGCAGGGACACAGGATGCTCTCCCTGATGACAGCAGAGAGCCCGAGGCGGGGCTCGAACCCACTGAACTGTGAGACCATGACCAGAGCTGAAGTCAGATGCTTAACCGACTGAGCCACCCAGAAGCCCTAAGGTTTCAATTCTTTCGGGTATCTATCTCCCTGGGGTGGGAATATTTGGGAATTATATGCTAATTTTCTGTTTAGTTTCTGGGGAGCTGCCGCTCGGCTCCCCACAGACGTTCTATCCTTTTATATTCCCACCAGGGACATACGGTTCCAATTTCCCCACCTCCACCCACCCCCCCCCCCCACCAGACACTTGTTGGTGATTTTCTGTGCCTTTGTTCTTTCAATACATATTTTGCTGAGCACCTGCTTGGTGTGAGGGCTGTGCCTGGGGTCCGGGGTGCAAGGGCACGGAGGCTCGAGCTGCTCTGCCAGAGCGAGGGGACAGACATAAACAGGTGGCACTGGGAACGAGTGGAGTGAAGGAAGGGTAATGGGGCCCTACGTGTGCGGGACAAGCTGGGAGGCTTCAGAGGAGGCACCGCTGACACCGTGGTCCCTGCTCCCTGCCTTTGCCTCCTGCCAGCATCTCATCACTGGAAAGGGTGACCGTTGTCGGTGCCAAGTGCCTCAGGGCTGCCGTCTGAGAAGTCCCATCCTTGCCTCACATCCACCCATGCAGCCTGTTCCTTTGTGTCGAGTCCTCATCTCCAGGTCGTGTGCTGGCAGCCCAAGCCCGAGGAGGAAACTGAGGCTCACAGTGGGGAATGAGTTGCCAAAGGTCACCCAAGAAGGTGGTGGCAGAGGGAACCCCAGAGCCCTGGTCTCCAGCCCCCTAGAGCACAGGCTATTGGTCTTTTTAGCTTCGATGGGGTGAGGCGTGGGTAGCAGGGGGGCTGGGGGGAGGGACAGGAAGGTGGCAGGAGGCTGAAAGGGAGGCCCAGGTAGGAGGAAGCCAAGCTTCAAAGATTTTCCCAGAGTGGGGGGAGGGGCTCTGGGCAAGGTGTGTGTGGGTGAGGCGTGAGGGGTAGAGGTCCCTGGGGCCTGCTCAGACCCATTTGTCCTCTGCGCAGTTTCAGTTCTGCCTGACTTGCCCCCCCTGAGACCCCAGGGTTAGGGATGGGGGGATGGGCCCACCGCAAGCCAGAGCCACCTCCCTCAGCCTGCCTTCCTGTCCCTGCCAGGTCCTGCTGTCTGAGGGAGGAGGCTGGAACCTGGCTGCGTCCGTCCTCCATGGGCAGGGGTGAGCTATGGCAAGGCCTAGCTGGCAGACAGCGTCCTGCTTTCACATCCCAGAGCTTGGACCCTCCCGTGGTTGCGCTCAAAAGCAAGGTCTGGGCAATGCTTGCTCCATGAACTCATACTTTATAGGACTAAGTGGCAATGCGCTCACCCTGACTCGTACTCTCAGTGACTCATGGGGCCCCAGGGTGAGTCCCGGGCCAGACCAGGTGTGGCGGTGTGCGGGGACAGGGTAGACACAGCCCCTGGTCCTCGTGCCAGCACGCTCAGGGCTCTGGTAAAGGCAGCGGTGATAGTGTTGACGGGGTGCGGACAGGTGGGGCCTGCCTGACCTGGGTGCTGGCTGGGGAGCTGGGAGGGAGCCCTGTGGTTCCCAAGCCTCCCCTACCCCTTCGTCCATGCCCTCATCTCCTCATCTCAGAACTCAGCTCACTCAGGCTGATGGCAGCTTTTGATTCTGTTACCCACACCCGTCCCTGTGGCTGCTGTAAAGAAACTCGAGTTCTGGGGACACGGGGAAGTCCAGAAGACGATGGCGTAGAGGCGCCTTGTGCTCCCCCGGCCTCCTGAAGGCCTCACTTCCCCATCACAGGGCTCCTGCGGGGCTTCAGGGGCAGTTTCTGCATCTTTGCAAAGGGCCTGGCTTTTCCTCGGGGCTGCCCTGGTGCTGTGGCATAGCCGGGTGGGGGATTTTGGCAAGGCCAAGGGCTCGGCATGGCTAAAACTCCCCCGGGTGGCTTAGCCGCCCTGGCTGGTAGCACTGTGAGGATAGACATCAGGATGTCATGGGTGCCTTTGGGATGAACCATCCAGTAGGAGCCAGAGCTCTGACAGTGGCAAACCCAGGGTTGGGTGGGGGGGTATTAAAACCAAAGTGGTTCTTGGATTCTGTCTTTGTGGAGAAGTAGGCGTTAGCCAGGCAAAGATGGCCACAGGCACAGAAGTAGAAGGTGGAATGACCTATGCAGGGGAACTCAAGTGTTTCCATGTTCCAGTCGTGTGACTGCAGTGGATGTGCGGGGCCAGGAGGGTGAGCAGGGAGGCTCTGCAAGGGCCCCAAGGCCTCGGCCAAGGTGTGGAGGGCTGGGACCCTCCCGAGCCCCTCGCATCCGTGCAAGGAGGCCTCCTGCACGAGCCGGCTGTGCTGTGGTGTGGCCTGGGCTGGCTCTTCGGGGCTGCTCTCACCTCAGTGTCTCTGAGCTCTGCCATTTGGTCTGACAATCTCGAGGGCCCTGCAGCCCCCTCACCGGCTCCCACTCCAGCCCTGTCTCTGAGGGGGCCAACGTGGGGTACTGTGTGTGCCGATGGGTAGCTCAGAGGCCAAGGCTGGAAGAGAAGAGATGGGGTGGGGGGTGCCCTGGGTAGGAGTCCGTACCCCCTCGTCTGGTATGCATGGAGGCTCAAAGTATTTTTCCAGAGTGTGGGGGCTCACCGTCAGTCCCACTGCAGGCTCAGGCCCTAGTTCTGACGGAAGGCAGGATGGTACAGAGGGGAGCGTGAATCAAGGTCACCCTGCTCTGTGTCCAGATCCAGGCTCTGCTGGGGTGCACTCCAGGTCAGCGAGGCAGTAGGAGGGCAGCATGTCACACCTGGCCAGTTACCTGTGGCCCAGCAATCCAGCTCCTGGGATTCTGTCCCACAGAGACACCCACACACGTGTGACATACGCACAGAAGCATGCGCACAGCACTGTTGAGGCAGCAGTGGGTTGGGAACACCTTGTCTGTCCATCGGCGTGGGACGGGACAAGCCTACGGCATGGCCCCATGAAGGGACTGCTGTGAAGCTATAGAAAGAATGTGGAAGCTCTCTGTGTATGACAGTGCAAAAAAGCTCTGGGATTTTTGTCAAGTGAAAAAGCAAGTACGAGTCAGTGGAGGGCAGAGAAAGTGGCTCATGCCCTGGCAGGGGCAGGATGCAGCGTGACTGATGGCTCAGGGGTCGTGGGGAATTTTGTATGACGGGGGCGAAGGGACAATGCTAGGCAAGTGAGATGGAGGCCCGCTCGGGAGGGCCCCTCTCTTTCAGAGAAGAAACCGAAAACCACCAGGAGACAAGGGATAATTTTCGGTAGGTTCTGATCTGCTTTGTCTGGTAACGAGGTCTGGCAACCTCAAAGCAATGGCCCACGTTGATCATAGGCGTTACTCATGTCGTGTCATGTAAACCTCACGATGACTCCAAGTCCCACAAGGGTGGTGCTGTTATCATCATCCCTATTTCACAAATAAGGGAATCGAGCGCAGAGAAGGTAGGGAAACAGACCAAAGTCACACAGCCGGTAAGTGGCAGAGCCAGACAAAGAACCCCGAGAGGCTGGCTCCTGAGTCCATACCCCATCCTCCCTCTCAGAGCGGTGGCCTGGAGGGGGCCAGCTGGAGGCGAGGGAGAGTCAGAGGGGTGTTGTAACAATCCAGACATCGGAACAATAGGGCCTGGGGCGGGGGGAGCAGGGGGAAAAGCGGTGGCTTTGGGGATGAGGACTCAGGTGTAGACTTGAAAGTATTTAAGAAGGTAGAAACCAGACCTGGTGAGTGGGGCGTGGCTGCTGTGGAAGGGGAGGGGCCCAAGATCCCATTGTTCATTCACTCATGGAGCAAAATCATTAAGTGGCTTTGTTCACTGTTCGGGGAACTGGGCTTGCCTCAGTCTCCAAAACAGACAAATAGATGCCCTTAAGGAACTTCATTCTAGCTGGTGGAGAAAGGCAATAAACAATAAACATAATGATATGTAAATTACATAGTCTATTAAAACTGTAGAAAATATAAAATAAAGGCAAGGGTGACAGGCCGTCCTGGCCAAGGAAGCTTCTGACGTGGTTTTTTTTTTTTTTTTAATTTTATTTATTTATTTTGAGGAGGGAGGAGGGGCAGAGAGAGAGGGAGAGAGAGAGAATCCCAAGCAGGCTCTGTGATGTCAGCGCACGTGGGGCTCTATCTCACGAACCACAAGATCATGACCTGAGACAAAATCAAGCATCAGACGCTTAACTGACTGAGCCACCAGGTGCCCCACTTCTAAAGTTTTAAACGGGGGCGGTCAGGGCAATTCTCACCAAGCAGGTGGCATTTGAATGAAGGCATAAGGGTGGTGAGGGAGTGAGCCTTGCAGACACATCAGGGAAGGGCATTCAAGGCAGAGGAGCAGGGGCTGGGACATCCGAGGTGTTTGTTAGACAGCAAGTGGATCACAGAGTGGGCAACGGGTGGGAGAGAGGTCTGGATGGGGGATGGCAGGTGCATACGCGGGTGTTCGGGAGTCCACAGCATAGAAGACATTTGATGCCTCGAGACTAGATGAGATCTGGAGACAGAAAGCGAAAGGTGTGCTTGGTTTCAGCATCTGTGTCAACGAGAGAGATAGAGAGGAAGAGAGAGGGTGGGTTTTGGGTAGATCCTGAGAGGCAGCCAGAGGTGGTGTCCGGTGGGCACACGCATGTCTGGTCTGGAGCTCAGGAGAGGCGCCAGGGGGCTGGAGCCCTGAAGATGCAGGAGGCGTACGAGCTAGGGTGGGAGAGGTCCGCCTCCTCGGGAGGAAGAGGTAAAGGCCAAGGACAGAGCTTGGGACGGGGGCCCATTTGAAGGTGGCGTCGGGAGAAGGGAGAAGCAAGGAGGTGCCCATAAGAGGAGTGGCCAGTGAGATGGGGGAGGTCTGGGTGTGGGTGGTCAGCAGTGTGGAACAACACTGAGGAGGCAAGTGTGGGTGGGCAGGGAAGCGCCACAGAGTAACAACACAGAGGTGGCCAGTGACCTTGGCCGGAGTCAGATCTTAGAGGTCAAGGGGACGTGGGAGGTGAGAGGCGGCCACGGAATGTGGAGCTGCTGGGCAGAGCTGAAGGTGAGGCTGAGGCTGAGAGAGGGCTCCTGGAGGATGGGAAGGACCGAAGCAGACGGTTTGATGCCAAGAGACAGCAGCAGGAGGTGGGGGGAGGGTGGGATGCAGGTGAGACAAGGTGAATGTCCCCAAGTCCCTGGCAGCTTCTCTGAGACAAGGCTGAGGTGAACTCCTCCCGCTCCGCTCTGGCTCCTGAGTCCTGAGAAGGGAGGAAAGGGAATCTAAGGAAGTTACAGGAGGGGAACCGGTCAGAGCGAAGGGAGGGACAGGAGCAGGAATGGGGCGACGTGTCGCATCTTTCCCATGTTTTCAGGGGACATGATGGCTGTTTCCACTGTGGTAAGAAGACCAGAAGGGAAACCAGTGAAAGCAGGGGTATCTTTTGAAACAATTTCTGGAACATGCAGGTGCAGGCCCTCCTCCTACACTGGCCCCGCCCCCAGGCTTAAACCTGGCTATCCTCGGTGGGCCGCTACAGAGAAAGTCTGCCCCTGCAGACACAGAGGTGGCAGAGGGAGGGTGTGCCAGGTGGGAGGGCCACCTTAGCAAAGGCTCGGTGCAGGACCGGAGGGACCAGGGTCCGGCTGTGGAGCCCAGCCTGCCAGGCAGGGGCGCCCGGGCACTGCCCGGCAGCATTGGGTGCCACAGGGTCATTGCTGAGTGTGACTGGACCAGAGATGCTCACTGGCCCTGTGTCTGCCTCCTGCCCCCTGCCTGTGAAGGCCTCCAGGAGCTCACCACCCCATCCCCCTCTCCAGGGCAGGGGGCCAAACATCCCAGCAGGGGAATGGACGTGTGGAGGCAGGTCCAGGTAGACAAGAATTCAGGGGAGAGGTGCTGGCTATACAGCTCGTGTCTGGTCCTCTTTCCCTTTATGGGGACACCTGACTTCACCTACTGAATCAGTAGAGCTGGAGGTTTGCCGGGGGCGGGTCTTCCCCTCTGGTCAAAGGGTTCTCAGGAATCCACCTACTTCCTCTTTTCTGAAAATCGGAACTACTGCTGTTAATTTCAGGGAAAAGGAACTAACCTTCATTGTGTAGCCCTCCCCCTACACACACACACACACACACACACACAGTGTGAACAGGTGCTAGGCCCAGAGCCGGCTATTACTCACCTGGTGTGACAAGGCCTCATAGAGGGGACACGGGTGTTTTCCCTTCTTGACAGGTAGGGAAGCTGAGGCTGTGGGAGGCTCAGAGACTCACAGAAGGTCCCACTGTGTTGGGTTATGGAGGTCACTGACATGGAGGTGAGTGCGGAGAGGCCTGGCCATGGTGTTATCTGTCCCCTGCACATGCTAAGCCAGACACTGCATGTGGCCAGATAAATGCCTAATCTCCCCTCCTATCTCAGCGGCCGGTTTCCTAGATGCCGGGGGTTCCTGAGGCTCACACGAACATACGAAAGAGCTCCTCGCCTCTGCTGAGAGGCGCTCAGGGCCTGAGAGAGGCACCAAGAGGGTGCTTGGCATACGGCCTGCTTCTCAGACACCCCTCGGTCCCCACGGCACCCCCTGGAGACTCAGGTTGGCCCCTGAGGGGGCTAGTGGCCAGAGCCTGGAGTCCACACGTGATGGCTAGATCTGCCCCTCACCCCCTGCATTGTGATACACAGAGGCCTGGCCTCTGCTTGTCCCTAGCCTCCCACGAACGCCCCAGCCAGAAGTGCCTCCCACTTTTCTCCACTTGCTTAAGCGCCAAGGGCATAGGCTCAGGGGCGCAGAAAGGAGGCTTTGTGACTTTGGGCAAGGTCTCTAAGCAATTGGAGCCTTATCATCCTCATCTGCCACAAAGGGGTGCTAACAATGACAAGGTCCCCAGAAGATTCCTGGGGATCAGGGGAGATCTTCCAGAGTCTGGCTCATGGGAGGTGCTCAGTTAGTATATCCCAGCCTCCTGGAATGCCAGGACTGTCAGCTCTGGAACTACATGGAGCAGAGCTTTAGGACTTGGTCCCTGCTTCCGGGAGTTGATGGCCTAGCCTGGGTGTTTAGGGTTCATGTCCCTTCCCGGCATCCTGGAGGAAGGAGGCCATGAACTTCAGGGCAAGAATGACGGAGCATGTGGTGGTGTGGGGCCCTGCATGAAGCACCTCTACTACACCCACCCCTAACCTTTGTGGGGCTCAGGACAGAAGCATGAGTGGAGGCCCATATCTGTCTAGATATTTAAAGGTTGTAAATCAAGCTAACAAACTGCTAACTAGAATACATTCTAGCCTCCTACGTGGATAAATATACCCTGAGAACAACCTGGAAGGGCAGGATGCAATTAGAATCCTTGGACTGCTGGGGCACAGTGCTGGAACGTGGTGGCACAAGGAGATCTCCTCCCCAGCTCCTCCCCTGGCTCCAGCTATGGGCATCGCCCGTGGCTGCCCCAGGCCATCCAGCCATGTTTCATTCACAGGCCAGGCAGCAGCTGCCTGGGGTGTGCATACCAGCGGCGGGGCCAGGAGCCAGGCCTGGGCAGACTGTGGGGCAGGGAGTTCTGGGGTCCTGCATTTGGAAGAGGAGCACAGGCCTTGGGCGGGCATGTCCCCTTGGCTCATGGGAATTTGTCCCCCTATTGTAGGGGTGAAACCAGAGGGTCAAAGTGGATTCCTCTAACGTGCAGGGTCCAGGGCAGGGGCCCTTCTTGCCTGGGTCTAAGTTTGATGCTACTCTCGGGGCACTCCAGGACCTAGCTCTGGAGAGCATGTGCCCACCCTCTTTGCATCCCAGCACTTGAGCGCCCACTAGACCAGGGTGGCGCAGGCCCCCTGAACCCCCTGGGCCTTGCTGAGCCCGCAGTCTAAGGAACGGGCCCTCCCTCTCCCCTGGACATCAGGGATAGCTTCCTTCCCACCCAGTGAGCCTCATTCTCCTCATGTGGGGTGGGGGAGGGGTGTCTGCTGCCACCTGCCCACCCCCCTTGCTGGGCCCATCCTATCTGGCCTCATCTGACTCTGTGGACCGCTTGGTCCTGGACCCCGCGGGCAGTGGACAGCCCTCTCTAGCTCATGCCGGGAAAGTGGGGCACTAACTGTACTTGAGCCAATGTTTCTCGCTCACTCAGCTGAAAAGCTACAGCTTCCCTGAGGCTTCTAACCTTCACTGGGTACTGGCCGCTCCTTCCCTGATGCCGCGTGACAGGCCTGACCTCAGGACTCCCATACCTGTCCTGCTGCTGGGCACCTCCCTCACCGTGGGGTGGGGGCCTGGCACCTGCCACAAGGCTATCAGTGTCTATACCTTCTCCCACATTGGTGCTGCCTGCCTTTGGGCTCAGCGTGGCCTGTGCTGGGTGCTCTTAATGCACATTCCCCCTCCCACCCCAGAGAGGGTGAGAGGGATGGAGGGGGTCCCTGCTACCAGGGTTCAGAGGTAATTCAGAGACCTTCATCATTAGGAGAGAAAGGGCCTTGGCAGGGGTGACAGGGATTTCCCAGGAAGGCTGAAGTATGCTGAGCCGCAGCCATGAGGCCAAGTCTCTGGTCAGGAACACGCTGGACTGTGCGCTTGGGGAGAGAAGATCTCGTGCCTCCTCCCTCAGACACACAGCCCGTGATGCCGGCCGCCATCTCAGGAGCGACTCCCACGTGTGCAGCGCCCTTTCCCACCTCCCTTTGTTCACTGAGAGCTCTTCTTGCAGTGTCAGCATCATCACTGTCCCCTGCCAGGCGAGCCCCTGGTAAGGACCAGGTCTGGGACTGGGTGATGGGGGTGCCCACCTCATCAGGCAATGGAGGGAGGAAGGGGCACCCATCGCCCTCTGGGCACCTGTGAGCCACCCCGGGAGGCCTCTACTTCCCTTTCATCGGGATGGCCTTTGTCTTCCTCCTGGAAGCAGTTCCTCCCTGCTGGTCCAACAGGGACGGAGAGCAGGAGCCTGACTTATCAGTGAAGAGACTCCAGGGGGCAGTGCCTGGGACAGTTACGCACCTGGGGGCCCACTGGTGCCACGCTTGTGGTGGGCCGAGAGCCCAGGCCCCTGCAGGCCAGTCTACCCTGCTGAGGTGGGCGAGGCCAGCGGCATTGTCTCTGGGGAGCGCTGAGCCCATCCTCTCCTCCATACCGGTGCACCTGCTGTGCCCTGTCTCAACGCCCTTGAGCCCCTCCACAGCACCCCCTTTCTGAGAAGCCCTCCTGACTGCAGAGCTCCCCAGCCTGAGTCTGAGCGAAGGACTATCACAGAGGGTCCTTGTTCTCTGAGCCTGAGACTCGTAGAAACCAGCCCAGGCACACCCTTGTCCCACCCCCCACCCTCCTGGGCAGGTTCCGGGCCCCTGGGACTCAGTGCATGCTGAGTTTATTCATTCTGAGTGTGAGAGAGCAAGAGTGATGGCAAGGGAAAGACAGAGGGAGAGAGGCAGAGAGAGACAGAGAGAGAGACTCCCAAGCAGGTTCTGCGCTGTCAGTTTGGAGACTGACATGGGGCTGGAACTCAGGATCCGTGAGATCAAGAGTCAGGTACTTAACCAACTGAGCCACCCGGGCGCCCCTCAGTGCAGGCTCTTACTGCAGGTGAGGGACACAGCATTCTGGCCCATGCCTCGGTTGCCCATCTGAGAAACATCTGTCACACCCTGCCCCGACCCATTTCCCTGACAGAACAGCTCAGCTGCATCCTGGTGGGACACAACTCCCTCCTCCAGGAAGGTCACAGGAAGCAATCGAGGAACTGACCTCCTGTTTGAGCCCAGCCCTGTCTGGTGCCACCAGATGTCCCAGGGGAGGGAGGAGCGGGCAGGAGATGCGGCTGCAGGACAAGAGGTTGGACCCGACTTTCTATCCCTTCTTGGGATAAAGCTGTCCTCCATTCTTTTTAAAAAAATGTTTATTTTATTTTTGAGAGAGAAAGAGAGAGAGAGAGCGCTTGAGAGACAGGGAGAGAGTGACAGAGGCTCTGAAGCAGGCTCTGTGCTGACAGAGGAGCTCCCAATATGGGACTCAAACTCCTAAACCGTGAGATGATGACCTGAGCCAAAGTTGGACACTTAACTGACTGAGCCACCCAGGCGCCCCAAAGCTGCTCTTCATTCTAGCTGGGGTCCAAAATTGGGAGGCACCTATACAGCTAGGCTGTCCATGCCTGTTTGCCCAGAACTATCCTTTGCATGTGGTGTAGATCTCCAGGGGAAAAGAAAATCTACTCAGTGGATACCAGCCCTCAAAGCCGCTTGAAGCCCCGTGGGAAGGAGGAGGCAGGTTTGGGACTGAAGCCAACATGGAATGGGGACTTCAGGGGCAGGAGGCTGACTTCAGCTGGGTGGGTGGAGCTGGGGGCCCTTGAAGGACAGCAGGACACCTGAGAAACTCTGAGTCAGGCCCCGGACACAGAAGCCTCTGGGACATTGTGGTCTCAGGAAGCATCACTAAACTGAGCTGGTGGGACAGGCTAAAGGACCAGTCACTTCCTCCTTCCCGACCACACCTTTGTGATGAGATCACCTCCTCCTTCATTGCTTGGTCCTTCCGCTGCTGCGGGAGCAAACGAGGTGATGCAGAGAGACTGAAAAGCATAAAGGTGGTATTATTATTAGCAGGAGTCATATTTGACTTGCTAATTAGCTTCCTAAAAATAGCCACATTTACATAGCGCAGGGAGAACCCTAAGCTGGCGCTGGCGCCCTGGATTCTAGGTATAGCTTTGTGGCAGCCTTGCTGTGTGACCTTGGGCTAGGCCCTGGCCCTCTCTGGGCATCTGGTTCTAGTTGGGGCTCCTCCGGTTTGCGGGGGCTGGGTTCTGAAGGACTGGCTTCCTCTGAGTCACTAGTTCATGGCAATTAGTGTCACAGAGGCTATCCTTGGTACTTGTTGGGGAATTTGCAAGGCACTCATCACTAACCATGCGACTAAACCTCATAAAATACATGCAGCTCCCATAAGGGCTACAGAGGGGTGTGTGGTGCCAGGGGCACATGTCATGGGGGATTTGACTTAGTTGGGGATCAGGGGAAGCTTCTAGGAGATGGCTTGAACCTGAAGAGTAGGTGGCCATTAGGCAAAAATGAGTGAGAGGGGAATTCCAGGCAGAGGGAACAGAGGGGCGCCAGTGGGAGGGGCTGAGGAAGAGCTGGGTGGCTGGGGATGGGCTTGGGGGGCCCCCGGGAAGCCCACCTTTACCATTTGAGGGATGAAAAAGCCCCAGAAGGGGGAGGAGAGTTGTGACTGGAACGGCTGGAAGGAGCTCTTCCGGTGGCCAGAGCTCTTCTGGTGGTGGCTGAACGGGGGTGTTGGTGGCC